TTATTGTATACGTTTCGTTAAGTTTCAATCTTTTTATATTTTGTTATATCGGTGAAATTCTCACAGAACAGGTAACATATGTTCAGATTACTTAATAATGTTCTTCATTTCTGACCTTAATGACAGACATAATAATTGTTATATTATTGTTGAAAAAACATGTTTCGTATAACTATATCAATTTTAGCAAAGTTAAATTTTTAACTTTTATTTTCATATCCTAAAACATTTTTGAATACTATTTATTACATTGCTTAATGATCACAAAACATTTAGATATATTTTTATCGATTTATTAGTGTAAAAATGTTGGACATGCAGCATATATGACTAATTGGTACAATTTGAATCCCAAAACTGCACGTGGACTTGTATTAATAATTGCTCAATCGAGTAAAGTGATCAAGATAACCGCAGGAAAGTTATTGCCACTCTCTATTGCAACTTTTGGAGATGTAAGTGATGTGTATATAAATATCATCTTCACTATACCCATCGCTTACAAATTATAACGAACTCATACATCAAGACAGAAATTTTACATATTTATTACTATACTTTCACTGCTATTCATTATATTATAAAGTATATAATAAATGGTCTACAATAAATTTGATTCATTAATTTAACACTAATAATTTTGAAATAATTTGATTCACTGTAATTCTCGGTAATCTAACATTTTTATTATATCGTACATAGAAAAGTATACATTCTTCTTTGCAGGTACTTAGAACTTCCGTAGTATATTTGAATATATTGCGAACAATGACTATGTAAAATTATAACAAATTATTGTGAAAATGAGCAAAATATATTTTATAACAGAAAACAAATAAATATATTTTGAAGATGCAATAAATATTAATAAATAAAATTAAAAGCCATCATCGAAAAATATTTTCAGACATTAAATATTTTTTCAAGAAACCATGTGATATATTTAATGAATATTTAATGAATATATTAAGACAATTGGTAAAATAATAATATATAATATAATCGAAATATGCTTCACGTCGCTTACCTAAATCACACAAAGAGGACACGCGACGTACTCTCGGACGACTAAAAATGTAATCTCTTAGCGACAAACGTCTATCGATCGGACGTGCATTCGTTGTCTCAGGAAAAAGAAATGACGCAGGCGCTTATCCGAATTCAACCATGGTCATAATATACCACCCTACTTCAGCACCGCCCGCGGCGGTAGTACATTGAGTGCTTTCGCAACGTGATCATGACAGACAAGGGTGTATTAAGAAGTATCGAATTCAGAAACGATCACGATTACAGTCTTCAATTAAATCGATGGTACCTCAAACCGATCGGCGCTTGGCCGGAAATAAATGAATCTAGCGTTGTAGAAAATATCTTTGTGCCGGTACAGATTTTAATTTGTTGGACGATGGCAATTTTCATAGGGGGGCCGTGCCTGTTATACATATTATTCGAAGCAGAGAATATCCCGGCGAAACTGAACGCGATAGGTCCACTCTTTCATAGGGCTATGGGTTCGGTAAATTATCTGACATTGCTCAAACGTAGAAGAGATCTTCGCGATTGTATAAAACACATGGAGAAAGACTGGCAACTAATCCAAAGGATTGACAACCGTGAGATTATGATACAATACGCCAAATTCGGCCGCCTCATCTCCGGAATTTGTGGAGTAATTATGCAAGGCAGTACTATGCTTTTTAGTATAACCAGGGCGATGAAAACTGTAACCATCGTGATCGATAATCAGACCATGACGATGTATCCGATGACATGTCCATCGTACCAAAAATTTATCGACACTAGGTTTAGTCCCATGAATGAAATTGTGCTGTCTGTGCAATTCTTGTCAATATTCGTAATAGGTGCCTCTACAGCAGGTATCTGTAGCTTAGCTGCTGTATTCGCAACACATGCGTGCGGCCAATTAAACATCCTGTACAAACGTTTGTACGAACTAGACAAGAATAATGAGAAAAAGAACAATTCAGCTGAACAAAAAATGGCCGTCATCGTGGAGCATCATTTGAGAATATTAAGGTATGTTATGGGGAAATTCCGCTTGTGACAAATTGAAAAATATTACTGTATAAGAATTTATTTATCGACCACAAACTCAATTAGAAATAGAACCTACATGTCTTCGTTACAGTGAAAATAACATTTGTAAATTCTTAGAGTTTTTGACACGGCAAAGAACGCGATTTTGTGTCTAACGTGTTCAATTCGTGTTCGAATACTCTTTCTGTGAAGAAAAAACTTCGCGACGTTACATCTATGTGCGTACATTTCAGTCTAATATCGCGCATGGAGAGTATTATGCACAACGCCTGTCTTGTGGAAATAATAGGAAGCACAATAAGTATATGTTTACTTGGATATTATTCCATCATGGTATGTTAGAGATTAAAAAATAATGTATATCCTGAACACATCTTAATTCCTTTAATTACGAAAAATCAAATGTATTCAAGTGTATAAAACATATCATAAAAGATAGATTAATATTATTTTTATAATACTAATTCGATTGTATTCTATTTTTTTAGCATTGGGCTAATTTTGATGGTGCAAAAATAACATCTTATGTTATTGTATACGTTTCGTTAAGTTTCAATCTTTTTATATTTTGTTATATTGGTGAAATTCTCACAGAACAGGTAACATATGTTTAGATTATTTAATAATGTTCTTTCTTTCTGCCTTTAATGACAGACATAATAATTGTTATGTTATTTTTGAAAAAACATGTTTCGTATAACTTGTCAATTTTAACAAAGTTAAATTTTTAAATTTTATTTTCATATTCTAAAACATTTTTTAGTACTATTTATTACATTGCTAAAGGATAACAAAATATTTAGACATATTTTTATCGATTTATTAGTGTAAAAATGTTGGACATGCAGCATATA